TAGATTCTGTGTCTCCCTCTCTCTCTGACCCTCCCCCATTCATGTTCTGTCTCTCTCTGTCTCAAAATAAAAAACGTTTAAAAAAAATTAAAAATAAATAATTGTAAAAAAACACCATAAAACTTAGCATCTTACACGTGTAAGTAGTGTTAACTAGATTCACATTGTTGTGCAGCAGATCTGTAGGACTTTCCACCTTGCAAAACTGAAACTGTATCCATTGAACAACTCCCCACTTCCCCTTCCTACCAGCCCCTAGCCCCCACCATCCTACTCTCTTTGAATTGGATTACTCATATGAGAGGAATCATAGAGCGTTTGTCCTTCTGTGACTGGCTTATTTCACCTGGAATAACCTGTCTGAGGTTTATCATGTTGTGGCAGATGTCAGAATTTCCTTCCTTTTTAAGGCTGAATAATACTCCATCATATGGATGGACCGCCTTCGCCTGCCAATGGATGCTTGGATTGCTTCCGTCCTGAGACTCTTAAAAACATCCCTTTTACCATGTAATGAAACACAACTCACAGGATCCAGGCATTAGGATATGTACCTGTTGGGGGTCTATCATTCAGCTGACCACACTATCCAATCATGTTATTATCCCACAAATTATGGACCCATTCTTTTGGGGTTGGGTGTTCCAGTGTTTTCTGGCTGGTGCCACCACACGGTCTTACCTTGCGGTGAATGGGCATGTACATTTCCGGGGGCACATGCCTAGGGATGAGATGTCTGGGTTAGGAAATACTGCCAGACAGTTTTCCAAAGTGGTAGTATCTGTTTACACTTCATAGCAGGGAATGTCATGGTGGGCATGTCATGGTAGCTCATTCTGATTTTAATTTGCACGTTATCTTGTCATATATTTATTGGCTGTAAACATCCTTTTTATGAAGTTCCCATTCAAGTATTTTGCCCATTTTTCTTTCAGGTCATCTGCCTCTCTCATTGGCTCATGTATTCTAACATGGATCCTTTTTGATACATGTAAAGCAGACGTTAAGTCTTTTTGTGGCCTGCCTTTCCCTTTCTTTGTCGTGTCTTTGGATGAACATGTTTTTAAGGCTTTTTCCTTTATGAATTAGTGCCTTTTCTGTCCTGTTTAAGAAATCTTTACCCACTAAAGGTCATGGAGATGTTCTTCTACAGTTTTGTTTACTTTTCTCATTTAGATTTATGACCCCCCTGGAATAGATTTTGTGTACTATGAGTTAGGGATTGGTGTTATCTCTTGTCATGGGTATCAATTTGGCCCTGTGCCATTGGTGAAGACCCTAGCTCCCTGCAACACTGATGTGTGTCCCTTATCCTCAGGCAATAACATGGTGTGAGGCCCTTTCTGGACTCTTCTCCTCCAATCTTTCCTCAGTGGGAGGGAATCCCAGGGCTGGTTGGGGAAGCTTCCCTAAAGGTGGTGGGAAGCTTGTTGCCTCAGAATGGGGCTGCCCAGGCCCAAACTCGCGTGGGTCCTCTCAAGGGTCTTTGCCCAGAATGGAGCGGCCAGACTCAGCCTCTCCACTTTCTTATCTTGCAGGCATAAGAGTTCCCACAGCTTTGTTGCCATGGGAATCTGGGTCTCTGCCCCACCCCCATTGCTCCCAGGCCTGGGGCAAAATCTGTCAGTCAAGGGTCTCCAGAGAAGCAGAACCAACAGGATGTGTCTAGAGAGAGAGAGCTGTATTTTGAGGAATTGGCTCATGTGATTACTGAGGCCTGGCTAGCCCAAAAGGACTGCTGCCTGCTGCCCACCCCAGTCCTGCCACGCCTGCAGGAGCCCCCGCCCCAGGCCGCCAGGCCCCTCTGCTTTGACTGGGAATGTGAGCGGTTTCTGGGACTGTCTGTAGGGAGGCCAACAGAGCCTGGGGCTGCCTCATTTCTAGGGCCTGGCTGCTGTGAAAGAACTCATGTTTACCTCTCACACTGACAAAAACGCACCTGTTTCATAGTATCCAGAAATGGTGAATGTGTTCGTTTCTTGGGGTGGCTGTAAGAAGAACCACAGGCCTGGGGGCTTAAAACAATGGAAATGTACTTTCTCTCACTCTGGAGACCAGAATTCTGAAATCCAGGTGGCCACGCGGCCAGGCTCCCTCCAGAGGTTCCAGGGGAGAGTCCATCCAGCAGCGGCGCTAGGCAGTCCTGGCCTGGCCGCGTGGCTCTCTTCTCTGCCTCATCTCCACGTGGCCTCTCCTCTGCTGTCTCAAACCTCCTCCGCCTCTCTTTGTGAAAACACTTGTCCTTGAATTTAGTGCCTACCTGGATAATTCAGGATGATCTCAAGATTCTTATTATACCTGCAAAGATCCTTTTTTTTTTTT